TGGGACAGGTGGGGGTGCTCACTCACCCCACTCTGGGGTACCCAGGATCTGAAATTCAGTATGATGTGGGGTCTAGAGGCATATTTTGCAGTTCAGAGTTCTGAGAGCTGCCACTGCTCCACCAGTTCCGGCCCCTGCATCTGCGCCACTACAATCTTGGCTCCTTCTAATTTTCTATATTAAAACGTTTCTCAATGTTTGCAGTAAATTATAATATTAATCTATATTTTATCCTAAGCGTTCACCTTACAAGGAAACACCAGATATGTGTTTTTTTCCCTAATAACAATGAAAAACTTTCTGATTATCCAGAATATTTTGTCCACTTTTCTTCTTTTTACTTTTCCAAGAAAAGATGTGTTTCTTTTCTTGTCTATGGTGATTTTTCTCTATTTGACCTTGGGGTAAGTGGGCATACTCACTTTGCATTTTTAGATTTATATATTTTTCTTTTTCTATTTAGAGTTTATTAACTATTTTGTAATTCTAATGTTCCCGTATTTGAAAATTTCTCAATCAAAATATATTACTAAAAATGTAATTAAATTCATATTCTTCTATATTTAGTGAGGTCATCACAATTCTTATCAAAGTCCTAGCCAAACAGGGCGTTCAAACTCAATACATCAGCATCCTCTGTGAGCTGTACTACAGATTCACCACCAGGATCTCACCATTCTACAAGAAAGTGATCATCAACGTAAAGAGAAGGGTTCAGCAGGGTGATACCATTTCACCGAAACTCTTCAGTGCCACCTTCGAGAATGTCATATGATGGCTGGAATGGGAAGGAATGGGAGTAAAGATAGTCCGTGACTACACCACCTCCGCTTTGCTGATGACATCACTCTAATAACACCAAACATTAGCCAAGTGGCACAAATGCTAGCTGACATCCACCATGAGTGTGGAAAGGTTGGACTGCAGTTGAATCTGAAGAAGACAATGTTCATGAGAAATGGACTCATTCCTGACATTCCATTCACTCTCAATGGAACGAACATCCCCGAATGTAACAATTATGTGTACCTCGGCTGAGAACTCAACATCACGGACGACCTGGCACCTGAGTTGCACAGGAGGAAGAGAGCAGCTTGGAATGCCTTCAAGAGCATCAAAGAAATAGCTAAGAGGTTGAAGAATCTCTAGCTCTGGGCACATCTCTTCAACTCCACTGTTCTTCCTGCATTAACATATGCCTCAGAGACCTGAGCCCTATAAAAATTGGGTGAGAATGCTACTAGGGTCTCAAAAAGAGGAATCAAAAGAGCTATTCTTGGAGTATCATGCTTCACTCAAATGAGAGAAGGAATCCGGAATTTCGACCTCCGTTGACCATTGAGAATCAGGGATGCTGTTTCATTTGCCAAGGCATCAAAAATCAGATGGGTTGGACACATAATGCGTTTTGGAGACGACCGCTGGACTAGAGCCATTACCAACTGGATTTCAGGGGACATCAAAAGATCATGTGACCGCCCACCTACGATATAGTCAGACTTCTTCGTCAAGGCCTTGAGTGAATGGTTTGAGGCTCTTCGTGTTCCTGAAACGAGCAGATGCCATTGGCTACACTAGCATGCGACAGGGATGAATGTAGATGTTACTGATGCCCGCTTGAGCAAATCAGTGAGTAATGGGATGTCAAGTGATCAAGTGATCACAATTCTCTATATTTTTTTATCTTTATTCTCTTGCACTCACTCCTCAGATTGTAACACCGTACCGAAGTTAACAAATCCAAATCCAGTAATTTTGTTCATTTTACATTTCCAAGAAATTATTTATTGTTATATCATATACAGGCTGGAGCTATAGCACAGCGGTAGGGCGTTTGCCTTACAAGCGGCCAACATGGCCGACCTGAGTTCGATTCCTCCACCCCTCTCGGAGAGCCTGGCAAGCTACCGAGAGTATCTCGCCCGCATGGCAGAGCCTGGCAAGCTACCCGTGATGTATTCAATATGCCAAACACAGTAACAACAAGTCTCATGATGGAGACGTTACTGGGCCCGCTCGAGCAAATTGATGAACAACGGGAGGACCGTGCTTGATTGATATCTCTCATATACATTCTTCCCAATTGATTTCTAAAATATATAATTTCCTACTTACCATGGGCTGGAGCAAGAGCACAACTGGTAGAGCATTTGCTTTGCACGTGGCCGACCAGGGTTCGATTCCTTCATCCCTCTCAGAGTGCCTGGCAAGCTACCGAGAATATTCCGCTGCATGGCAGAACCTGTCAAGCTCCCCGTGGCATATTCAATATGCCAAAAACAGTAACAACAAGTTTCACTTCATCTTCCTGGAGCTAGTTGACGCCATTTAATTATACTAGCACGTGGCAGGGACAAATGGAGATGTTACTGGTGCCTGCTCAAGCAAATTGATGAATAGAAAGACAGTGCTACAGTGCTACTTACCATGTCTCAGTTAATGATTAATATTATCTTATCAACCTAATGTAACATCAATAAATTTTTCCCCAACGGACTGTCAAGAGTACTTATATTTTGTCTGTATAATCCATTTAACAGTGTTTTTTAAATTATGTTTTACTCTTATTCTACCCTTAAGCTCTAAGCTCTTGAGATGTGCAGAATATATTTGCCGCATATTACAAGAACATAAATCAGTGCATGGTTATAAAGTAAGCTATCAATAAATATTAGTCAAACTGAATAAATGAATAAATAAGTTATACTAAAAGTCATGTTTTGTTTATTCTACTACTAAGCCCTTGAACAATTATGAGATATTACTAAATAGTTCGTAAACAGTTTGAAATAAAGTGATGTTGACTAGATGGTATTAGGCTTTACAAATTAGCACATTATAATGCTTTAGGTAGAATACCCAAATTTTTTTCTTTGGGAAAATTTTTATTCTTATTCTTATTCATAAGAAATATCAATAACTTATCTTTCTCAGTCTTTATCTATTGTGAGCAAGATGGTGAGATGAGGTAAGATATCTCAAAAATTCAAGAAACTGTGATATATCTAATAGTTCTCTGGTACTGTAGAGTTAGCATTTGGTTTTTCTTTGTTGGAACATTTTACAAATTCCTTGGATAAGCATATAAAAGATTTTTTTTATAGTAGAAGTTATAGAATGGAATACTTACATAGCATTCCAACAGTCTGGGTGTTAATTTCTGTCAGGGATATCCTTGTCAGAGATGATATTTCTGTCTTGAGTGGGAGGTTGGCTATAAAACTTCCAAAGTCTTCCAAATTTAAGATGTCATGATTCTGTGAAGTATTATCATCTTAGAATGTGCTGGAAAGGCCTGTATAATCCTGAATGTTATACATAGAACAAATTACATAGCTCTCACTGACAAATAAGAGAACTAAGTAGATCACCTTGTATACCTATTTACTTGTTTTCAAAGACTACATGATTAGAATGACAAGATTAAATATTCCATTCAAGGCAATGACAGATGTCCTAAAGATATTTATGAGAAAAATTCTTCCCAAGTTTCTGCATTTTAGGCAACAAACTTTTTCTAATTCAACTTTAAGGAGAATTTACTTTAAGAACAGTCAATTAGTTTTATAATTCAGATATTTAAAACAGTGCTCAAATTAAAAATATTTTAAAAATAATTTTAAGTTATTGTTATTATTGTTTTGCCCACCTAAAAATCTGACCTCTATAAACACTATCACCTTAAGAACCAAAAAGCTAAAAAGAACTTTTATTTCGTCAAATTCATAACCTCTGTGATTTTGAAATCCTTTTAAATGATAATGAACCCATATTGCTTTAGAATGTAATGTTATTTTCTATCTTTGGTACAGACAGAGGGTTCTCTCATTGTCAGATATGATTTGGAAAGGACAGCAGAGGCCAAGGAACATTGTTGACTTGGCTAGGTTCCAGGGATGAAAAGGCCTAATTGAGGTGACTGGCTAAATTTTGGTAGGCAGAATATAAGTGAAATGCTATTTCCAAATGGTGTTTGAATAATTATATCCAAATAAAAAAGCTTTTTGGGTTTGACTTATGTGACCTTTTAAGTGATAAATTGTCACATATTTATACTGAGCTAGATATTTCACCAAATCAACCCATTTGAGACTTCTGATTACAGTTAAATGAGAGAAATACTGAAGTTATTAAGAAGCTGTTGCTATGTCTTCTCATTTTGTTCTTTAGAATTATTCTTGCATTAGACATTTTCTTTCTGTTTCACTGCCGTCACTCAAATTCAGGGTCTTGTTCTACTGTAATAATTTCTTGGTTGGTTTTCAGCTATATAATTCCTTGCTCCTCTAATCTATTGTATAGATACTGTCAGACCAATAATCTGTAACATGCTCTTGATTTCAAATAACTACTATATATACCTGAAAACATGTAACTATTTGGGGCTTTATTCTTACAATAGAGGTCTTCAACAAATGACCTCTATTGATAGAGAAAAGCCACAAGTATTTTTTTAACATGTATCTGGGTACCTAAAACTATATATCCTTGCCAAAAACTCTACTTATATCAAATAAATTATTTAATGAAACTATCTACAGATCCTGTCTCTAAGCACATAATGACAGAGCACTTAATAACAGAATGCTTCTTTTCTGGAATGTTACTTTCTTATTATACCATTCACAATGTTCTCCTTCAAAATCCTTACATTTTTAAATTAGATGGACTTGTATTTCCTTGGGAGACTCTCAGATACGTATTATCTAAAAAAATCACTAGTGTGAAATTAATCTATAATATCAATAGACCTCTTATATTATTATATTTAAATTTCATTTTATTGTTTCTTAACATTTTTTAAAATGTATACATCAGAGGTAAAATAATGCCTAAATCCCTTTAAAATATCTGATTCTATATAACACAGTGTCTGAAATGATTTTCAAGACCCATGAACTTCTAAAATTAAACTAACTACAGTTAAAACTTATATCCCTTCTACATTCAATATTATTATTTCCATCCTTTCTTATAGCTTTTTGTTGTTATTTTCAGAGAGTGGGGGCACCACTACTGGCAGCATTGCAATACCACAAGATCAACATATGGCACGGGCAGAGAAATCTCCTGTTCCATCTCCCTGCTCCAAAATTCCATTAACATATTGTCAGCAGAACAAGGGCATATCAGATATAAAATTGATGACAAGAAATTATACACTTGATTTTAGTCAAAAGATTAAGGAATTATTTTTCATCCTTTAAACTCTAATTTGGGACAACAGTGACATCAGTCAGGCAAAACCATCTATTGAATATACTGTGGTCAATTTTGTTGTGGAACCGTCCACCGGAAGACTTCCAAGTCCAACATTTAGATTCAGCCTTTTGGAATTGTGAGTTACCATGGATGGTCTTGGTCGACATGATGAACTCAGACAGTCTCTCACCCTGTTCATTCTATTCTAAGCCATGGGTCCCGATGTGGAGTTCTTTGACTGATCTTCTCGGTCTTATCTTGGCATTAAAATCACTGACAATGATCTTGTAGAAGGTGTGGTCTTCTTTATAGAACTTCTCCAGCTCCATGTAGAACTTCTCAATTTCTCCTTCATCATAATTGGATGTGCATAGACAATGAAGATAGAAACTGCCGGCAGTGAGCCACAACTAATCAAGTGTAATCGTCTGAGTCGGGTTGTTAGGCATTCAAATGTATCAATGTTTATGGCCAAGTTTGTGTTGACAAGGACACTGACACCTCCGACGCCTCTTTTGTCACATGTTCTGAGGAACAATTCTTCTCCAATGTCGAAAAAGGCATGATGTGATTGATGCCTTCTTGTCTCAGTCAGACAAGTGATGTCGTACTTGATCTTTCGCACTTTTACTATCAGGCCCTCGATAGATACATCCAATGTCAGCATGCTTGCATTAAAAGTATAGACAGTCATTTTTGTCTTTCTTCATTTTAGCAAACTAGTTCGGCCTTGAGATTTTATCAGTCTCTCCTTCCTCATCCTTCTTTATGCTACCATATTGGTGGCTCTTTCTGGGATAGGGGAATGAGACCCATTGTATTTATTGGTTTTGGCATATCGGATACGCCACGGATAGCTTTCCAGGCTCTGCTGTGTGGGCGGGATACTCTCGGTAGCATGCCATGCTCTCCGAAAGGGATAGAGGCTTTTAGGGCAGCCTCTAATCATCCTTTCAGGTGTTCCTATGGTTCACACCATATTTGAACCCTATCAAATATGGTGCGGCAATCCTGGAAGAAGTGGCCACATGGTCCAGAAAGTATCCTGGAGCGAGGCAGTGGTGGGTTAGTGAATGTAATGTAGACAGTGGTCTGCTGGTAAGGTATTTATCTAGTACCGGTATGATGGGTCTTCTGTGTGGAATCCCTGGGTCACCGGCAGCTGGTGGAAGCAGACAGGGCAGAGTAGGGTGGCGCTCCTGATTTTAATCCCTTGGTAATCTAAGGTTGGTGGGCGCAGGCAGAGAATCTCTGTTCCCGGGTCCATTGAGCCTGGAGTTCAAGGTCTCAGAGTTCCGCTTACCTGGTTCTGTGGGGATTCACTCATGCGTGAGTCTCAGCCCAATGAGCATGAGTCTTGAAGGTTTTGCCTGACCGATGTCGCTGTTGTCCCCAAATTCAAAACGGGATGTGATCACCACCTCTTTTGTGCAAAATTCTACTTCACAGAGCAGTGAGAAAGGGCTGTAAAATTTATGAAGACAACTCCCAGAACGACCACCAACTGAGAGCTCTTAGGCACTATTGCAGCAACATGGGAAGATGCTGTCGTTGACAACATTGATGTGGAATATGATCAACTGGTTCAGCACCTCCATGATTGTGCAAGGAATGCCCAGAGAGAGATAGCCACCAAAAAATGCCTATTCGAAAACTCTTGAGCTCATTTGCTAACGTGGCTTGGCGCAAGCCTCAGGCAACCGCAAGTGAACGTCTGAGCTCTCAAAACAGTGAAGAGAAGTGATAAAGGAAGACTTCAAAGAGAGAAGAGCAGCAGTGCTGGCAGATGTGGCAGAAGCCGGCAAAAGCATTTGCAACGCCTGCCTGTCCTTCGCCAACTACAAGACCAAATGACTGCCCTCTGATGTCCTAATGGATCTATCACATCTTCCAGAAGGGCAGCAGAGAAGATTATCCATGATTTCTCTCGTATCTCTTCAGTAGCCATGTCCACCTGACCACATACCAAATTCTGCAGGATGAATATGTCCTTCCCAACGCTCTCCCTTCCAAAATCCGACATGCCATTTCATCGGTAAATAAAGAGGCGACAGCACCAGTCAAGTTCAGTCCCAAACCCCTGAAGAACCTGCTGTTGCTAATCATCAATACACTGGCTCGACTCTTCACACACTACCTGTCTGAATGTAAGTTTCCGTCCCAGTGGAAAACCAGCAGGACTGTGCTACTTGTAGAAGAAGGGAGACATCCATGACATTGACAACTATCGCCTGATCAGCCTATTGTCTGTCATCTACAAGCTGTTCACTCGAGTCATCCTGAATAGGATTGGCAGAACACGAGATGAAGGAAAACCATGTTAGCAAACTGGGTTCTGCAAAGGATTCAGCATGATAGACCATAACCACAAGATAACCATGCTCATTGAGGTTTCTCAGGAGTTCAAGATACTGCTCTGCCTAACATTCAATGATTTAAAGAAGGCCTTTGATTCTTTTGAGATGAAAGCAGTCATTGAAGACCTATCCAAACAGAGCATTCAAAGTCAACACATCAGGATCCTCTGTGAGCTGTATTACGGATTCACTATCAGGATCTCACCATTCTACAAGGAAATGGTCATCCATGTCAAGAGAAGGGTTCAGCAAGGCGATACCATTTCACCGAAACTCTTCAGTGCTACCCTTGAGAACGTCATGTGACAACTGAAATGGGAAGGACTGGGAGTGAAGATAGACTGTCGGCAACTATACCACCTCCGCTTCTCTGATGACGTCATTCTAATTACACCAAACATCAGCCAAGCGGCACAAATGCTGTCCGACTTCGGCTATGAGTGTATAAAGTTCGAAGTACAGCTGAATCTCACAAAGACAATGTTCATGAAAAACAGTCTCGTTCCTGACATTCCATTCACTCACAATGGAATGAACATCTCCGAACGCAACAGTTATGTGTACCTAGGTCAGGATGTCAACATGACTCATGACCTGGCACCTGAGTTGCTCAAGAGGACGCCTTCAAGAGCGTCCAAGAAATAGCTAAGAGGATGAAGAGCCTCTGGGTCTGGGCACATCTCTTCAATTCCACTGTTCTTCCTGCATTAACATATGCCTCAGAAACCTGGGCCCTACGAAAACAGGATGAGAATGCAATTAGGGTTTCCCAAAGAGGAATCGAAAGAGCTATGCTTGGAGTATCACGATTCTCTCAAATGAGAGAAAGAATCCAGAGTTCTGACCTCCATCGACAGTCAAGAATCAGGGACGCTGTCTCATTTGCCAAGGCATTGAAAATCAGATGGGTTTGGCATGTAATGAGATTTGGAGATGACCACTGGTATAGAGCCATTACCGACTGGATTCTATGGGATGTCAAAATATCGCATGGCCGCCCACCTACAAGATGGTCAGACTTCGTCGTCAAGACCCTGAACAATTGTTTTGAGGCTCTTCGTGTTCCTGGAGTGAGCAGACACCATTGGGCTACACTAGCACATGACAGGGATGAATGGAGACATTACTGGCGTCCTCTCAAGCAAATCAATTAGTAACGGGACGTCAAGTGATCAAATTCTTATTTAGAGCTTATAATACTAATCTGGGAGAAGATAAAAGGGCAAATCATCAATGTTATTAAGTCATTTAAAAAGTTTGTTTTGATGAGGGAATGCAGTACTTGAAAGGGCATTTCATGGGTCATGCTTGGCCTCAGAGTATAGGAAAGAGATTGGTAATGAAGGAAAATAATCAAGGGGCAAGAAGAGATAGATGGGAAGCAACACGAAGAGGGGTCAATGGGATACGACTCTATCAGTGGGGTAAAGGAGTGATTCAGCCTACTAGACAAATTGTAAAGTCAACAGCAATGAAAACAAGAGATCCAAACTTCAATAACCAAACTCAAAAGGTGCTTATTCAAGTGGCAATCTAGGGATTGGGTAGATGAAAGGGTGGGAACCTGAGAAGCGTGGTAGAAAGTAGAAGACTGCTGGTCGGATTGGTGCTGGAACAAAGTATATATGCAACTCATTATATATTGATAACTTTGCAAATTATGGGGTTTAATAAAATGTTTTGAAGAGTTTGTCTTGATGTGGAGGAATGTTAAAAGTCTATCTTGATGGGGGTTTTGGAAACTGAACACCTGTCAGTACTCAGAGGCTACTGACAATGATTCGTTGATTTACAAAGTTACTGGCAGTTCAATTTTAGATGTACAATGTTCCAGCACTGATCCTACCACCAGTGTCAATTTCCCTCCATCAGTGTTCCCAGGTTCCCTCCCACCCTGCAAACTGCCTCCTTGGTAAGAACTTTTTAAAGTATCTGTGACCTCAAAATAAGGCTACAAGACCACAAGCCTCACATTTTTTCATTCCTTCATTAAATTTATTTTTTCTGTGATATTTGTTATTGCTTCGTAGAATAGAATGGTGGTCAGGAGTTGTGCTTTTCTAATCTTTGAATCATCCATTGTTAATCTCCAGTAAATTTCTTTTATGCCTCTCTCCTTTTTTGAAAAGTAGGTAGCACTGTAGCACTATCCTCCCATTGTTCATCGATTTGCTCGAGTGGACACCAGTAACATCTCCATTGTGAGACTACAGTTACTGTTTTTGGCATATCGAATATGTCACAGGTAGCTTGCTGGTGGAATACTCTCGGTAGCTTGCCGGGCTCTCTGAGAGGGGTAGAGGAATCAAACCCAGGTTGGCCACATGCAAGGCAAATACCCTACCCGCTATGCCTTGGCTTCAGCCCTGAAAAGTGGGTATGATAATATAATTACTACAGGAAATGGCACATGCTAACATGTTTAGGTGACATATGAGTTATTCAGATTAACTGAAACACCTCTTATGTAATTGGACTTATCCTAGAATGCTGAAAAGCATTTGGATCTATTTTTATTAGTTTTTATTGTCATTTTATTAATAGATGCATTATCTCTAAATAATCAGAAACATCCATAAAGTATATCTCTTGGATGAGTAGTACATTACAATTCAGAAACTTTCAGAATGGACA